AAAGCGACGGGACCACCTGAAAAGCGACACCCCCAGTTCTGCGTCCATCAGCTTAGATACCGAGTTTTGACCGTAGCTCAAACTTGAGACCCATGACTCTACTAGCTATCCATACTTTGACATTTCTCCTTCTAGCCCCTTATCTAATCTCATCAGTACCCTACATACAACTAATGATCTTATAGTTATTCAGCGGTCCGGCGCGGGTGCTTGAGGGCTACTTCGGCTTCCGAGGCGATAAAAGCTCCTGAAATTCCTCCACCTTCAGTTCAGGCTCGACGCTTGGGGTATATGGGGCTTCATCAGAGTGATTAAGGGTTTAAGGCTGGGCTTTGCAGTAATGTAGACCCCTTATTCATAAACCCCCTCCCCTTAGTAGGGATTCTAATAGGGATCCTAATATGAAGTCCCTTAAAACGAGGGGGGCTATCAATCATGGGTCTACATGAATCCTCTAAGAAATCTTGTGCCAAGTTTTCTTCAAGGGGAGGTAACATTTGTGCCCGTGGGATGCACCTATGGTCTATGGGTTTAGGCTTTTAGGGCTTAGGGTACAGGGTTTAGGCTTTAGGGTTTAGGCTTTAGGGAAGTGCAGGGATCACCATGGATCCCTCTAAAGCTCCCTTGAAACCTTTATATGCTTAGCGGTTCCGAACCTAGGCAAAACAAGGATTGCGAGACACCTCCTACAGGTCCAAGTACCGAAATAATGGATCCTCAGGTCCAACATGCTATCATCTGAATGGTTTTTGGTACCTACAACCCTGATAAGTACTTGGGTACTTGGCCCCGTAGTTGATTTGCATTTGGGAGACTGTGCTTTTCCGCCATTTCCTGCCAGATTGCCGCGACTGCGGGACTCATCCACCGACAGAGGCTGCAAGCAGTTTATGTTTGGGGTTTAGATTTGAGTTTCTGAAGGAGCCGCATATTGCTTTGGAGAAAAGATGCTCCTGACGAGCTCCGTTTGAAGCTCCGGTTCGGAGTGAAAGATCCTGGTATGGGATGGGGGGCTTGAAGATGTGGAAATTAAATGGTCACAGGGTTTTTCAACTTAGAAGCACTTTGAGTTCTGAATAGAGGAATGCTCGTAAATGCAGTACGGGTTCGGAATGATTTGCGATGATTCTGCATTCACAGGTACTCTCGAAGAGACGTTTCTCAATGCCGCTGAGGCTCTGGACCCCTAAGCCCTAAACCCTGGATCCTGAATCAGAACCCACGGGATGCGTGCTGGAAGCCCTTTTCTTTTAGTCTTGGACTGACTTATGACTTAACCATAGGACCAGTACAAGGAACGATAAGAATGCTGAATACTAACAATCTTGTGATAATCGCAATAAATGTCACGTGCCAATGCGAATGTGGTTCTGCATGCGTAGGCTTTACTTACTGTTGAAGACACCCAAACCTACAAAAGTGAGGGTCATGTTCTGCTAGCTTGCTGCTGAACGACCACTTCCCCTTAATCATCCCCATAAGATACATGACCATAGGCAGTATTTGGGGATGGAATTGCGGGTTGATTATTAGGGAATGGGGACTATAGAGTTGCCATCCATGCTCGACGCGCCAGCTTTGCCAAATGCAGCCTCTGTAAAATTGCGGCCTGGCAGCTTCTCAAAGAGTATCTTACATCTTGCACAAAGCTTCTTCCTAAAGCTAAACCCTAGACCCTAAGGAGGATGTCAGAGAAACTCCGCTTAGGCTTGGTGGGAATTCTTCCCACAAGTCTGGATTTACGCGATCTGACGGGCCATGCCCTTGAACTCAGAGTCCCTAAAGTCAGGACTCTCATCTGGTCTAGCACCATTAGAGTTAAGGATTTAGGGTTTGGGTTTAGGGTTTAGGCGGATATTACCCAAATAATGGAGAATCACATGGAAAAGAACATGGAATATGACATGGGAACTGAGTTTATGAAGCATGGCAGCCATCCTTGCTACTGCTAAAGCTGACAACCGATTGATATCTTGCTGCCTGCTGCTGCTATCTACCAGCAGTACTCCCACG